GTTTAAATTCATTGAATTTTGCATTAAAACCCAGCCAAAGAGCCTTTTTTTAACGTGCATTAAATCAGAAATTTGATATAATTTTTGGTATGAGGTGCGTTAAAATGCACCAGCCAAATGTAGCCTTATTATTATCAACATTACTTATTTAGTTATTTTTTGCTTCATTTTTTTTATATTCTATTTTATTTTATTTCAATTTTTATTTTTTATTTTGGGTCACTTAGGGGTGTATGGGGCAAGTGGAGTACATAGGTGTCAAGCTCATGTTTCCAAAAGCATGGGTTTTATGTGGTTTTATTGAGGTACACAGGATTTCATGGGTTTGAACAAGGCCAAATTTTGAAAATTGAGGACTTGGAAAAAAAGTAGGGTGGTGGTGAGCTGAGATAAGCTTTAGGGTTCAAAGTTAAAATACAAAACCATAGTAGATGATACAACAACATAGTTTGGCACTGCAACAATTAAAATTATTATTCCATTTGACACAGGAGAATTTTTGACATCACAAAACTTGGACTAGGAGCGCACTTCTAGAAAAGAGAATAGGTGACATGTGTTCTAATCTGTGAAAGAGCCACTGTGAAATCTTAGTGATCATTCTATGACAAATGATTGGCACACTGTGCTCTTTAACTTTTTTGAAAAATCATAGATTGATCTCTTTACCATGAACGACTTCTCATTCATGATGACCTGAGATATATTAAGTGGACAGTCAAGTCTTCTTCCTATTCCCACTTTATATTTCAAAGACATCTTTAGAATAAGTTCCTTAAAGTATTCTCTTGCTGAATTCTTCTGGATTCATTCTACTTTTATCTTATTATACATACATATTTTTTGAGAACTTATTTGGATACACCATGTCTCATAACATCCCACATCTTTTTTCACAAATCAATGCTATCCTTACCAATTACCAGGCTGCCAACGGCAGCAACAATCTCAGCAGGGAGGATCTCCGTGACCTCTTTGCTGAGATCATCTCCAGGGATGATCCTTTCTTTGTCTTCCATTTCTCAATGATGGCGCGCTTTGCCATTGGTTTGGACTTCTACGCCGGTTGCACCTTTCACGGCACCAGCAAAGGAGATATTAATGACACCAGGAGCTTGCCCGTTTTCTTCTTGCCTGCAAGCTCTGAATCCCCGCCTAAAATTCTCTGGCGCTACATCCCAAAAGACCGCCCTGCGCTTAGAAATGTATCTCCTTCTGCTCAATACCGGAAGGACTCCAAAGATAACCCTGCTGGTAACTTTCTCAAGCTACATTCTCCGTCTCCTACTAACGAGATTGCTGACTCTAAACCTGTGTCCACAGGTGTTTCTGGCCCTTTTCCCCCACCAATTTTTATTTTTATTTTATTTTTATTTTATTTTTATTTTTATTTTTATTTTTATTTTTATTTTTATTTTTATTTTTATTTTTATTTTTATTTTTATTTTTATTTTTATTTTTATTTTTATTTTTATTTTTTTTTTATTTTTATTTTTATTTTTATTTTTGTTTTTATTTTTTATTTTTATTTTTTTATTTATTTTTTATTTTTATTTTTTTTTTTATTTTATTTTTTTTTTATTTCTATTTATTTTTTTATTTATTATTTTATTTTATTTTTTTATGGGTTTAGGAGGTATGTGTTATGGGTTTTTTATGGTTTGATTAAGGCGTACAAGATAATATATGGGTTTTTTGTATGGGTTTAAATAAGGCCAAAATCAAAAATCCAACAACTCTACAATCGGAGATGGTGGTAAACTGGGGTGGTAAACTGAGGTAAGGAATAGCGTACAGAAATACAGTTTGGGATATTGATCAGTGGAAAATTATGATTATATTTGACACAGGAGAATTTTTGACATTACAAAACTCAAAAATGACTTTCAAAAACTGAGAAATGCATAGTCTTGGCAGGTAAATTTCAATTCAAGGGTACCACAGCACCATTGCCCGGTAGATATTGTTTGGGGTAGACTCTACTTTTGCATATTCCCTAATAAATTTAATTTTAATCATCATCTTTATCAACTTTAGTAGTAATATGGGATGGTAAACTGACCAAACCCCCATTTCAAAGTTTTCTTTCAATTTTCAATCACCATTTACACTATCAACCATCAGAGTTAGAGTTTAGCTTGGCAGACCAAAGGTGTAGAGCATCAAATTGTCTTTCTTTCTGTCTCTTCAGATTTTTCATATGGTTTCTGAATCTTATTTTTTTTCAGCTTGGAGGGTAAATTGGCAGAAAGTTGAGTTTTTGTGGTGAACAGCTAAATTTTAGTTCTGATTGTGAGCTTGACATTTTGATTATTGTCCATTTGTGTGCGCTGAATCTGTTTATCAATTTTTTTTGGGGGTTGATTGGGAGTTACTGTGTGAAAAAGTTGTTTGAAGGTGAATTTCAAGTTTGCAGAGTGTTTTTTGCGCCACTTTTCTTTTTTGGGTGCTTTCATGTTTCATATATACAAGTGTGTCTTTTCCTACCTTTGATAGCCTTTTATTTAGCGAAATTTATTTCCAGAAATCACAATATAGGCCATGTATCTTTATTATTATTTGGGTAACCACTAGTGAGAATTGAAATTTTAATATTAGACCCCTATAGTTCCTTTTCTGTTTAATTTATCTGAGTTTTGGTGGCTCAGTGCTCACTGGGTTCTTTGGTTTTGGTGCCTGAGTGCGCCTAGGGAGTTTTATTATTGATTTTATTCTCCTATTTTAGCCTGGTTTTCATTAATCCAAAGACCTATTCTTTATAGTCACCAGTCCCTTATTGAGAAGGGCATTTCTTTTTGTTTGAAGTCTTTCATTCACAACTCAAGACTTAGTCTTGTTTCTTTGTGGTCTTCATGCTTCCCCTTATCAGCTCCTCTTTCAGCCAGGTCTGAAAGAGTTCTAAAGTGTGATCGACAGTCAAAGAAGAAAAAATTCACTGCTGTTTTGATTCCACATATCAGATATTCCAATATGACGTCTGAAATTTGCCAGGCGTCCAACTCAAATAATTCCAACAGAGAATCTCTCAAGTCAGTTCAACTTTTCCAGGATCCGAGGAAATGGAGATGGAGCTTCACAAACTGTTATCACCTTACAGCAGTACACAAACAAGTCACATAGCCAAACTAGCTGATTGGAGTGCCTTAAGGTCTTTACTACAACATCAAAAGTTGGGAGAACCATTGGATCAAGTAGTCTTGGCTTCAGTTGAGCATGGACCAACTAGAGTGGTGATCAAGACTAAATACAACATATAACACTAAATTAACACTGTAGAGGCAATGAGTAGGTTTCTTTCTCTTTGTTTCTGGAGTGCACTTCATTCTCCACACTGATTTTGATTGATTTACTCCATGCCAAAGCTTTTCAACTCACACAAAGGGGAGCCATCTTATGCATCAGGATTTTTCAATACTGTCCATCTGAGCAACATAGAAATGGGAGACAAACCTCCAACATCCCTACCACCTCTTTGGCATCAAACTTGGCTTTCCATGTGTCTTTCTGTTTTGCCATCATCAACCGGGGTAACTTGTTTCCTCAAGGATACTTGACTCAGTTGTTCTCACTGGAAATAAATCCTCCAAAAAACTCCTCAATCCGCAGAAGAGAAGGCTCAAACTTGGGTAGTGGCAGTTTGTCAGGCACTTGAATGGTTAGATTCTCAGAAAGATACCAATAACTCTATGCATCTTCTCAATTCAAAAGAAGCTGCCTCCTCAATTGAATTTGGCTTAATCCAAGAATGGCCACATGTCTTTATCAAGCTTCTTGATTCATATGTAACTCAATATCTTGAGGCTAATTATATTCTGGACAAAAGCGCTACTGATGAGGAAAAAGCAGCCGTCATAAAGTTCAAGGAAAAATCAAAGAAAAAATGAAAGGGTGGCTCCGTCAGAGCTGCAACTCTTGGTTACCTAATAATGTTTGCGTGCTGTGGTATTCGGGGTCTTATCTGCTGCTCAGACACCGTCAACTTGACTCCAGCGGGGCAAATGCTCATTTTTATGGTACCATCAGAGTGGCTTAGTCAACAAAGGCCCAATTTTGAGGTCAAGGAACCAGTGTTCAAACATATTAATCAGATGCTTGTGAAACTCATTGACAGTCTTTTTGATGCGGAGGGGCATTTTATTAAACCCCAAATCATGTGGCATGATATTTCCCGAAACCTGTGTTATGATTATCTATTGTATTGTTTTGTGGAAGCTGAGGTGTTCCATGAAGGGGGCGCCTTAGTTTTCCCAGAGTCTAAAGTCTTTATAAAGAAGTCTCAGACTGTCACATTATCCAAAGATTATTGATAATTTCACCACCAACATTTTTACATCACACACATGTATGTCAGAACACGTAGCTTTGATATTGGCAATGACTTTTTGCATCGTTTCAAGGTGACAGAATAAAAATGCCATTTCATATTGCTTTTTGAGTAATCAATGCATTGGATTAAGCAATGTTATGTCACATGGCTCAGAGCAATGCAATTGCTCAGCGACTATGCATCACAGGACCAGGTGAGCAATTAAATCACTTGGCAACTTAACATCACTCAGGTGACTGTGCGATCCAAACCCTCAAGCAATGAAATCATCTAAATCACATCAAGATTGTGCAATGGAAAGTTTTCATCGCTTTGATCAGATGCAAGCAAATCCTTTCAATTGCTTGAAAGCTATGCAATCCAAATGTAGGATCACCTTGTTGGCAAGAGATGCAAATGTGGTGTTGTGAAAACTTATCTTGACTGTACAATCCAAGATTAAATGTAAGAAAGGAATTCACTGCCACACCCTTAAGAACTTCATCATGATTCACTCTGATGACCCATACTTTTTTTATATGATCTTCATATAGTGTGTTCAAAGACCGGCAATCTATTGATCTGAAATAAAATAATAATAGATCCCAAAAGAAATCAAAAGAAATATAAAAATGTACACTGATTTTGAAAAACTAAACCATAACTTATTTGATATATATATATTATCACAATTCTACTCCCCAAGTAAACCTATTAAATCATCATAAACTAATTTCCCATTAGAATTAGTACCTTTGACTTTAACCTTCAAAACTAAGTCTTCCAAAGCATATTGACTGATCTCATTTTGGCCCTTCATCAAATCCTCAAATTTCCCAGGTTTTAAACTTCCAACTTAAGTTTTGGAAAAACTTGAAAAAGATTGTAAATCCTTGGATGATTTCTTGGAGACTTGAAATCCATAGATTCAGAAACCAAGAAAACAATGATTCTTCAAAGGTGTCTTTTGACTTAAAGCAGCATGAATTCCTAAAAAGGGGAAACAGGTGAAACTGGAAAATTTGAACCTAAAACTAATGTGACATTTGCTCTATATGATTATCAAAGAAAAATCAAGAAATTAAATTAATTGAAGATCAAAAAGGAGTGTGTGGGTTAGAAGATGAGTGAAAAGAAATCTACCTTGTGTATCTTTGTTGGGTTGAATTTGGTTGTAATTGACAAGTCAGAATTTGAGTAGCCATTTGAGCACCAAATCTAAAATCAAATCAAAACACATTATAAGGAATCAATTTTGAAGGATACAAAATGATAGTGAGAATTGAGTTTGTTAGAAATTGAAAGGAGACTAACAAGAAATTTGTCCAACTCTGAAACTTCGATTTGGGCCTCTTCTGTTGCTTGGAAGTCAACCTGTTGCAGCCAAACTTGTAAGATTCAAAGCCACCACAATTGAGGAGATAACGCCTTTTCAAGAAGAACCAAGATCAGAAAGCAGGATTGGAGTAAAGGTAAGGATTAAAAGATTTAAGCTTACATATTTTGAGTTGCATCTACATAGATTGATTGATTTAGTGGGAAATTAATAGGGTCATTGAAGAGTGTGGCATTGATCAAGCTTGATGGATTAGGATAAATTTCACCTGTGAGTCGAGCATGCTCAACCAAGATAGATCAGTTCAAAGAATCACATGAAAGATTTACTCAAAACATAAACTCGCCAATTCTTGGGTGTAACCTAAACCCAAGAGTCTTGACTCCTGCTGCTCAAGTTTACAATCTTGCTCCTTTATCTTAATCTATCCAGTATATAGTCAATACACATTCTGAAAATTTCTGTATGGAAATTTCAAAAAACATACCAGCAGATTCATATCATCTTTTGAGGGTGGACCTTGCCATTGGCTATTGGAGGTCCATTGATTTCCAGGGATCTCAGGGTCCATGCTTGAGGCTGAGCGTTTTGGAGCTCCTGGAATAGATTCTTGGTCTGACTTTCTTGATTGTGTCACCATTGGAGTAATTTATTGTTGATACGGTAGTATAATGAATAGAGATCAAATGTGAAGACTGACTATTACTTCCTAAAAGTAGGTGAAAAAGCACACTCATTATATGCCAACACTTAGAACAAGGAACAAAACCAGCTACACCACTCCATTTGCTCAAATCCACATATGATAATCAGTATGTATGTATTTCTGAATTATTATCTCCCCCTATGGCTCAAGAAATTGTTCAACCGGTGGATGAACAAAGAGTACATGAAGTCACATTGTTCTGCAAGTCATTACTTAAGATCTTTGGATCATGTATGTCTGTGACCCACTGGTCATGTACTGGTTCCGGTTGATCAAGATATGTGGAGACCCTCTGTACGTGTGGGTAATGCACTCATAGGAAAGGATGGAAATGAAGAAATATGATGGCTTTCAATCTTCTCACAAGTCTTCTCAGATAAATTGTACCTTTCAAATACCTCATTCTCTTCTCTGCTACATACTTGTATAATAGGGGGTGTTTTTGTTACTGGAAGCTCAGAGGCATTTGTTACCTCATGTGGTCAGACTCATACAAATTGCTGAGGGTTTTCTATTTGTCCTTCTCTCCAAACAAACAAACAACACAATCACTTCTATCACGCAATACAGCTCAAAATCTGTGACTGCCCACCTGTCATCTATTTTTGATCAGCCTGGCAGATAAAAATACATCACATCCTCCATGACCACATGATTTCCAGTCAAACTGATGAGCTCATAGGGATAGAATAAAGTGGTGAAATATGACAACTTTCTATCTACTCAAGGTTCCTTCCAGATAGGTTGTACCTCTCAATTTTTTCCCTTTCCTTCAAATAATCAAAAAAACAGTCTCCAAGCCCTTCTATGACTTCTCTTGTTAGATCCTACCAAGGTTTTACTTCAAATGCTGTGTACAACTCATATGGTAGCTCATATGTGATTTTTTCCCATCAATCTCTTCATGTTTTTTTGAATCTGTGATGATGGTCTCAGTGGTACCAGACAGCCAGGTTATACAGTTTATGCCAATATCATGACATTTGTACAGCACTTTCAAAAACGCAAGGAAAATGAAGAATCAACTTTTTAAACCTGTGCTACATATAGAAAATTGTATAAGCATGCTCATGCTTATACAAATCACTGGGTCAGAAATCTAGGTTTAGGTGTTTTGGCATTACTCACCTATAAACCATCTTGCTTAACCAGTAATTCTATTTCATCGAGCCAAATCACATTACATTTACAACTATTCAGATGTTACAATGACTCTGAGCTTTGTCTCTATCATCAACAAATCTTTGAAATAGTCAATGTGTATGTTCAGACTCAGGAAACCTCAAAACTGAACCCCTTGACCACATTTCATTCTTTGATTCTCTTCAAATCAACATTATCATCAAAAAATCATTGGAAGAGTCATTTTGTACATTCTTATTCAGGATATCTTTAAATACGGATAAATCATACAAGTTAAGAGCAAAACTGGTTTGCCCAAAACGGGACTAAACTCACCACCTGACCTTAATCTATGCCTCGATTTTGATTATGTGTTACATATGTACATATCATTTTTCAAACCCTTCACATCTGCCCTTCATATCCTTCTTTCATCCAGTCTCCTTTCATTCCTCAAATTGATATTGCTGTCCTTATCTTGTAGAATTTAATCCAACCCAGGTCAAAAAGTTTCAACTTGAAGCCAAAAAAATTCATCCACATTGTCAACACAGCAACAGATACGGTACTGGTATCGTACCTGATAGGAGGGTACTCAAAAAAATGAGTACCCAGTACCATACCTGAAATCAGTTACAGTACTGAGTACCGTAGCTGTTGGCTGAGATCGCCTTATGCCTTGAAGGCGAGTACTGTACCTCTATTAAGTGGTCGGTACGGTACTGTACCAGTACCTGGATAACACGCTCCGGTACGGTACGGTGTCGTACCTAGGCAGGTACCACTAGGTATATATACCGCGGCTAGTACCTCTTTGGTACCTTGGCTAATATTACTATTAGAATAATTAGACAGGAAAGGATGAGACACGTACCATTTTGGCCAGATTGGTAGAAGTTGTTTGTGATAAAGTGGAGCCACTTGCCAAAAAGGACAAAGGGTTCGGTTGGAATACCACCCTGGCTGTTTCACTCAGTCAAAACCAGGTATGGTACGGGTACAGTACCCATTTTACCGGTACTGCTCCTAGAGAGTACCCAGTACCGTACCCGGCTTTCAGGTACTTAGTATTGTACCGTACCTGGTAAAAAAATTGGCTCTGGAGCCATTCCAGTATCGTACCCAGCGCCAAGGTATGGTACTCAGCAGAACAGATACGGTACGGTACAATACCAGTACCAGTATGGTATCTGTTGCTGCGTTGACATTGTGGAAGCTTTAAACCCTGTAAGACAATTAATCTGATTCTTCAGCGCCTGTGAAGCATCATGTATTAATTGACTTACCTACCCGTGAGAAATGATGTATTATGAAGGGCAGATGAGCTGATTCTTGGCAGCAGTGCACTTCAGGCAACCTGGTGCATCTTTTTCAACCCATAAATCCCAAGTTTGCCCAAAAGTTGGACACTGGACCAACAGAGGTAGCCAGGTCAATAAAAGTGCTCTGAGGCGCTGCCAGAGCACTCTGGGTGATATTCAGTGCGCTCTGAGTAGAGCCAAGAGCGCTCTGAGTAGCCTTAGAGCGCACTGGTAGTGCCTATCAAACTTACTGCAAGTTCCTTCGACTTACACTTACAATCCATCTGATCACTTACTTCAACGTTGGAGCTGGCATTGGAACTACAGAATCTTCAGCACAATCAACATCCATTGCTTGCACTGGACATTAGCTCAAGACCCATCACCTCCAGTGAAACCAGGTGAGTGAAACATGTAAGAAACCTTGACCTGATTTGAATTGGCTTTCAAAAACTTCAAACCCCAAAAGACCAACACTTGATCTTGCAGTATCACAACCCAACAACTTGCCTAACTTCAATTGCAGTATCTCAACCCAATGATGTAAATGACCAACACTTGAACTTGCAGTATCTCAACCCAATGATTTAACTGAACTACATAAGTCTCAATAGGTCTCAATTCTCAATGTTCTCCAAATCAAATGTTGAATTTTCAAAACGGTTCTTTGTTAAATTTGTTGTATTTTATTCTTCATTGGTGTCATAATCAGTTTTGACACTTCTCTCTCATTTAATTTTCATATTTTGCTAATTAATTGAGTCAAACAAACGCAACACATTCAATTACTTAAGCAATTTCGGGGAGGAGTCTTACAAATATCATTTTGTACTTATTGATTGAGTCAAACAAAAACTACACACTATCGTAGGTAATTAAACCAATCAAACAGGAAGAAATATATCATCTGTCACTCCGAACTTGAAATAGACAATGGTGCGCAATATAAGAAGCGAAATGATAGATAATCTCTAGGATAGAAAAGAGTAGAGCTAAATGAAAACAAAAGGATGAAGAGGCATCAAACAGTGATCCTCAGCTTTGAAAAGGTTAGGTAGTTGACAGAATCTGAAGATGACTGAAATTTAATCTAAATAAAGTGAGAAAGCCAGGAGCTGCAGTGAGCTTGAGCAAAATTAATCCCACGTCAGTTAGTGCCAGTAATATGACAAGTTGACTATTGCTTACAATCATGGCTCAGAAATCCTCTGTATCCAACCTATTGGTGCCTGACTTCTCTGTTTCTGACTCTTCCAACTCTTCTGTTTATGACTCCACTGTGTCTGAGTTGTCATCTTGCAATGAGGTACCGGCTCCAATGCCTCTCTTTTGATTCTTTGGTTTCTTGTTGGATTTCTTGTGGTGATTTGACTTCTTTTTGCCAGCTTTGGCCAAGGCAATCAGACGCAGACAAGACTCACTTGGTTGTGAGGAATGGCCCCAAGAAGAATTCTTTTCATGTATTGATGGCTTTTGAGTGATGTTGTCAGTCTTGTTCTTTTGTTTCTTTGAGCTTGTTTGTGGCTGATCAATGACTTTGTCATCCCTGAGTACATATACATGTACCCAAAACAAACTTGTAATATCAAAATATCATAAAAAAACCTAATTACATATACATACAGCCTATAGACAGTATGTAACATGTAGTAAAAGACATAAAAGTATTATGGCATATACATGTACTGTTGAAACAACATTTAACATGTAATAAACCAGAAACTACGCCTCACAACTCATTTTCAAAAGTTAAAATGCTTATATTACATATTATACATAACGCATGTATGTAATTAAATATCACTAGTGATGATCATAACATCTAGTAATGAACAACCCTGAACCAATGTAGTGATAAAGACAAAATATCACCCCAATTAGGTTTAGAAAGGGGAGTATATAAACCCCTCCTCTCTCAGCCTTCAAGAGGATCCCCCAAGCAATTATCACACCATACTTTTCAAGAACAACATTAAAGTTCTATTGAAGTAACATCAAGAGTCTTATAAATATAAGACTAGTGATAACTTCATAAATTTAATCAGTGTCCTGACTAAAAGTAAGTAGTAATCCCCTCACCCATTTCTGCGTCCTCTACTTCCCCTAATTTAAACAAACCAAGGCTAGTGACCTGCAGACAAGTACTTTCAGGTTGGTGACCTTGAGAACAACCCCAAGTTGGTGACTTTAAGAACAACCAGTCTAGTGATCTTTACCTCACTCTTCAATCTGTCACTTAGAAGATTAAAGGGAAGCCTTGGATCCAGCTTCCATTAAATTATTATAATACTTTGATTACAATTGAAATATCCTTTTAAGGATTTGACTAACTGCAGTCTGTCTGGATTTGTCCAAACAGACTGTTGGTTGATTTTTACTTTCATTCTTTTCTTTATTTCAGATTGTAAGTACTGCATATTTGAAATGAAGAATTGAATTACACTAATTCATTACCTATTTAGCAACTTTAATGAGCCTAGAGTACTCCCGAAGAGTACCCTCCCCTCACAGACTTTGGGTTCAAGCAAAAAAATTATGTTCTCAATATCCTTTGACCAGAGGCGCACAATTGCTTTGGTTATGTTGTGATGGCCCGGAAGAAGGTCATCAGCCTTAACCAAACTACCTGGCTTTTGAACGAACTGAATTGGCCATTGTTTTGACTCAATGTAGCCAATGGGATCCTTGCATTTTGGAAACGGTTTTCCAGGCATGTACACATCTAAACAATCCATCATGAGATTCCTAACAAGTTTGTATAACAGGACGAGGTACTGGGTGGCCAGCCACCCCCTGGTATTGGGTGGCCTGCCACCCTCTGGCTACTAGTAGCAGACACCACTCAGACTCAGGCCAGTAAATTCTGTGCAGAGTCCCGGTACACGCCCGTACCATTATGAAGACAAAGTCAGAACAGTACCGGCCTGGTTAACACTCTTCGATTGCCGTCGGACATAACACTATTTACATTGCAACGACATGGACCGCATGGCTGAGAACTTTCAGGCTGCTACTACACTACGCTACTAAACCGACCACGTCGTGATTTTAACAATCCACCTGCCTCCCCGCCCCGCCATATTCACAACCTCGCCAACGAATGTGATAACTGCCCCCACCTCCATGTTGGATGACCCTTCATGAGTCAACGTTTGCACGTCATATATATGATCTACCTCGAATTCTCTAAACATCAAACTCTACAACCCCAAATTAGCTAAGGCCCCAGGTAAGATCAAATCGACTCAGTGCGTACCGATGTATCCCACTCCTTATGCATTAAACTGGCGACCCTCCACACATTGCCAAAACTGTCTTTACAGACTGCGGTGTCCCGTAGCACTAGGCCGCGACCTGACACCGCCAAACCGTTCAGCCCCGTAGACGGCTTCCAACCTTCAGACGGCGTACCATCCACAACCAAGGTTGTACCATGCCGCTGACTGCCCTGGACAACAACTCCACTCAAGCTACAGCGCCCCGCTAGATTTGCTGAGTCTCCGTGCTCCTCCTCTACCAACAGGACTGGCACCACAGTTCCCGGTGTCCGGCCCAAATCAATCAGCGCGTCGTATTCCCTTTGCCGACGACTACGACAATCCCGCTGCAGACATACGACTGGTCAGTAGCAACTATTGACGGAAGCAGATCAAACTTACCACAGTCACCACATCAAATTCACCGCACCATCTCAATGGTAGCCTCTCGCAAGCGCCTAAAGCGATTGACTCATTCGCAATCTGCATGCCAAGACACCGTTACCGTACCTTCAGAGTGAAGCTTAATTGGACTTTTCGTGGCGGTGGGCAGTAAACGCGACAAATTCAAGATTGGTTCAGGTAGCGAAGCGAGGATAATTCAAGCAATGTCAGGTTATCCCCCACCAGCTTGAATAGCTCCCTCTTAAGTCGCATTACACTCAACTTCCAGAATTGAAAGAAAGAGATTTACCCCCTATTCCAGCCTTGATGTCTATCTAACCTTTTTGCTGCGTTGACCAGAACAGGCAAGACCATACCCACCCTCCAGTCGTCTTTGTAGGCCACTCACTACCCGGCACGGCTTCCCACGGCGCAGACCACCTAATGGTGAGCCCCCAGCACAGTACACCCTCTCTTCCGCTCCTATCCAAAGTGTTAAAGCCCAGCTGACTGCAATGAACCATTACTACTATGCGTCCCTTTTCGATCCGTACTGTCGATGAGCAACCAGGTCAGACTTACCCAGTGATCGTGGCGCCCAATACGCCTTCAAAAACTGGTAACGTTATCGCTAACCAACACGGATAACCCCTCCTTGAGTGTTAACACATTCGATGCCAACCACTCATAGCCGGAGGTTTACCGCCATCTGTGAGCCTTCATACTGCTCTACCTTCTACGCCACGCTGACCAGAGCTGGCCGGACCAGACATCCCGGTGTCTTCTGTCAGCCATTTGCTACACAGCACGGTTCCTCATGGCCCAGACTACTTAATGGTGAGATTCCCAGCACATTAATAATTCATCATCCTGTTCTATCTGCGAAGCGTTAACGACCAGCTAGCTTCATGGAACCCCTACCACTATCCGTTCATTTTCGGTCCGTCTTGTCGTTAAGCGACCACGTGAGATTTGTCTATTCTTTGTCCTACACATTACGCTATACCTGACACCTTTCTGCAGCTTCCCCGCCGTTCTGAGCCCCGATCAGGTGCCGCAATGTATGACAGCGAGATATTCGTTTGTTTCAATCGGGCCGAACATATTCCCGTCACTGTCATGGCATCCGGACGGGAAACGCCATTGCAACAAAACACGACACATCTGCTACGTGGTAATCTAATTCCCCACCGCTACTCCAGATCCACCTTACTTGTGGTGACATCAAGCCAGCCGGCTGATCCGGCTCCCCTAACGGACCGTCACTTGCTGCCCCGCACTTATATCTCCAGCAATGGCACTGTCACGGAGCGTTACTTTCTGCATGGAGATCAACGTTGGATAGTCATAGCTTTGCATCGTGACTACGATCCCACTGTACGTTTACTCTCCAGTTACTGTTACTCGAGCTGACACCCGCTTGGCAGTCGCACAGCATAGTTAGTTTTGATGTTGAGTATACTCTTCAACGCGGCACCATGCAAGAAATTGGACGTGAACTGTTCCGAATTGGCGACACGTTGGGTCTTCACGGTACTCTCTTTGGGTACGACTGAGTTCAGGCGCGATGGATAGTTCACGTGAGCTCAAGTTCCTGCTTTGCTTAGCTCTCTTACTGATTTTCTTCTTCGTAGTTGAACGAAGCAGAACCAACGCAACAGTGGGCATTGGGGCCACACGTCTGAATGGTCCTGAATACTTGTTTGGACGTTATGTAGATCATGCCAATGCGGTGTCACAGACAGCCCAGTTCACGGAATCTTTTGAGAGTTGCATGGCCCCGGATCAGCAACTCCACTTAGTATACGTCCCGTCACGTTTCTTGTATAACGCTACCGTTGTACTTTTGACTCCATTTCTTTTCTCCAGCTTCTTCTGCATTATAATATCCATCTCATTTGTTTGCCTTACAACACTATTTAATACACCTCAAACCGTAACTGCATGTATCACCCTGGGAAAGGCTGCGGCCAAAGCCAGGCACAGGCGGGCTCATAAACGAATGGGAAGCGTTTTCCGTTGAACATTACTACCCAGACGTGGGCAATCTGGGCGTAAGTCATAACAACCGCCTGGGTAAAGTAGCACCGCTATGCGCCGGCGCTTCTGGTATTGGTGAGATGTGAGGACGCCCACTTCATCCCTAGTACGATGATTCACTGGTTGCGGACGGTACACGATACTATTGAAGCCGAGTGCCAGAAACATGTCAGCCCTCTCGTGAGCTTCGACGGCTTTGTCTCGGAGACGTTAAGTGCGCATTGCAATAGCATCGTAGTGTGCAGGAATGTCTGTCTGGACTGGCAGCACAACCCAGCTCGCGGACAGAGTGCGTCATTTTGCCAGCCAGGTCTTCACTCTCAGTGCATTGACGCGTCCTGACGATTATGTCCTGGCATGGTGAAGCAGCACAGTTTCGCACTTGATTGGGACTTGACCCTCACCCAGTAGCAGTATCAACCAATCGTTCACCAGAGCTCAGTTGAAACCCTCCTCCATACCTGTCTGTTACAATTCTTGAGAGTCCGCGATCCTCGCATGGCCGTCAATTTCAGTGGAGTCTTTCGACTCAAAGAAGAAGTCAGTGTGAGGAGACCGGCTTACTCTGCGGTCTGTCTGTTAATAACACCTGATGCATTCCAGGACCCGGGACTGCTACAAACCACTTTCCCGCCGTGCTGGTTCCGATGCTCTATCTATCTTCCTCTCATTGGACGCTGGAACCGTGAAGTTTTTGTACATGTTGGACAGGCCGCAAACTCATCTGCCGCCACGCACTCCGTTTGGCTAACTGGCGAGGTTCTTGCCCGAACTCAATTGCGTGATACGATGATTAGGGTGAGTCCCGGCTTTGCCTTCGAGCAGGGTGCCTACGCATCACAATTGCCGGCACCTGCCCCCATCATCACGGTTCATAGCCGTGGCCACGTGATTAGTTTCAGCCAGCGTAATTTCGATTGCTGGATCATAGTAGCACTGCATAACGTTACGGAAGAGAGTGTGAGTCATACTGCTTTGGCCACCAACTTGTCTTGCTCCAGCTGACTCGCCTAAAGTTAGCTCAGGTCACGCACTTCAATATGGTTTATGAGGCTTCGAACGCGCTCGTAGCGCAGATCGGCCCGAGTGTCTTCAGGCCAGGCAATGTGGTGAACTTCCACGGCGTGGTTATGCACTACGTTTGCCAGAGTGGCAAATGGATCATTAAGGTACGTTGACATCGCAATTCGTTGAACAGCCAACTGACGCTGAGTAGCTCCGGTCAGCGCATTCGGAAGCAACGATTAGGTCAACTCAAATTGCTCATCGAAGCGGAGCTTCAGCACCACCTTAATATACTGGCGGCGCGATAGACCGATATTGGCTGGGTTGGCCTAGACTTGTCGGTACACACGAAAGAAACACGCTGGTATTTTATCTAGACCGGGTATATGCTAAGCAGTGTCGAGTGATCTGGCATTCATTTCGCTCTGTCCTCGTTAACGGACAAAGGGATTTTGAGAACGGAATGAGCCGTTCCGCCGTTGAGGAGCAATAGTGAAGCTATGCCAGAGGAGGCTACTGCTACGAATGGAAAGCCATAAGTGTTGCAGTAGTTCAAACATGTATTCAATAGATAAGTTTTTCCTGAGCCGCCGGGCCCGTCAACAAACAACATGGTACCGTCCTGAGCGACGAACGATCTCTGCAGCGTCGTCAAAATGGTACGCTGTTCCGGCGTCAGCGTTGAGATTGAACTTGTCAATTCTTCCACAGTAAGCGGCGCTGCTATAGCGTCTTCCTCATCTAATGTACCACCCCCAATTTCAAAAAGAAGCTGGATATCCACGTCTGGTAGTCCCACATCTCCTAAGCTTTTACCCATGCCCAGGACACAGCTTTCAATCAGAGAAAGGCCATAGTTGTGGATTTGCGCTGTAGTCGGCTTGAGAGTTGGGGTGATTAGTGCTAGTTGAAAGTCGCAGTCGTCGCATAGGTCTTCAATGTGATCTTCCCAGAGACGCGTCGGATTCGCTGGGGGGCTGTGCACTAGTATTAGCGCAAACATATCGCGCAGTTGGCGACCCGTCTTCCAGGCAGCAGCCTCAGTCAGGCAAGCATCGAAATGAGTATCAGACACTAAAAGCCCTAACGCATCGGCGGCACTTCGATAGGTCGGATGGATTCTTCCGTCGACAGTTCGCAAGTCTTGAAAGGAAGTCGGTCCACGGGTATTGGTGAGGAGAAGGCGCAGATAGTAGCGTTCGCCATGGCTAGGCGCGGCGAAGTGTAAACGGCTGACAGCAATGGTCTTGTTGATTCGACGAAGCCAAGTCTTGTCGGTTTTAGACCACCAGTAATAGGTAGGTATGTCGCTGTACAGCAGCGAACGGACGGCGATGTTCGTCCTTGGGATTGTTCCACCAACGCGGCACAGCGCGAAGAATTCCGATAGGGTAGTCTTGTGAGCCTGGCCGGAGTCCATTTGATTGCGCAAGCCGTGAACATCTTGGAAGTACACCGTGTGATGGTTTTCCAAATGGAGCATCAGTCGGGTAATAGACGGATACCGCCCCGACAAAGAGTATTTGTAGAGTCTCCAAATAGCTAGATGGAGCGAATTAGTGTCGAACAAAGCTGGTTATAAAGTTATGGCTTACCTTTGGGAGAAGCCAGTGTACGACCGTCTACGAAATCATTTGGTTCGTTTTCGACTTCCAAACTTACAACGGCACGGTCATGGCCTTTAGAAATGTATTTGTAAAGGTATTTGATGGACTTCATGCCCAGTGTCACTTCGACGTTGATGTGACATTGGAACTTCAAGAGTAAAAACGGACTGTAAGGCACAACATCACGGTTGGTGTAGAGGTAACCGTTCTTCACAAAGAAGCGTCCATCATCGGGCCTCCTGTAGCTGGGGTAGGCCTCTTCGGTAATGACAGTTTCGGAGGTAAACTCCTTTGGGTAACCGTACTTACATTTGAGTCCGTTCCAGCAAGCTTTGCCTTCAAAACAGGGACCATGAAGCATGTACTGAGTTACATGCTGGAATAGATCCGGTGATTCATTGGGGTCAGGCAGTATCGCGGCGACGGCCAGGTCGATTACAGCTGGCGTACGGGATTCAGGGGAAGATTTGTTGATAAGGACGGCGTGATCATGTGGGTTGCCTCGCTTTTGAAATTCGACAGTATGTACGTAAGAGATATTATTACCAAGTCGACCCCGTTCGAAGATATCCTCGTGAAGTTCCTTGAGTTTCAATTGAAATACACGTGCAACCAAATCGGGGCAATCATCTGAGGTCTGACCCGGCAAAAGAGCTTCAGTGATTTCCGGCCATTTGGGGTTGGCGGTCATGGTCACAAAGAAGCTCGGTGGACCGTAGAATTTGACCAGTGCCATTGCATTGTGGTACAGCTCGTGCATAGCGCGTGGGCCACCGATAAACGTTGACGGGAGAATAATCCTCTTGCCGACGGCCATGTCGTTGTTGTTCAACGCCTCTGTGGCGCCGGTATAGAGTGCAGCCCGAATCTTTTTCTGGTTCATTTTAAAAAACTTCATCCTGGCATTCTCAACGCAAACATACATATCCACTATGTATTCTTGCAGCAGTCGGCCTCCACGTAGTATTGGGGAGAATACACCTGAGCGAGTGAAAAGAGTATAAGCAGCCCATTCGAGATTGGAGACTTTGCCATCGAGACCTGTCCGGTACACTGTCAGTCCATAATGTCTCATACAGGAGCACGATGGGAAGGAAAATAATTACGTTTTTGCGTAAAATGCCGGTAATGCTCGTCCCAACCATGGGATCCATACATGAAGAACACCGGGTAGCGCAGCGAAAAGTAATTGGTGTTGAGCTCAGAAATTCGTTGGAGAGGCCCGTCGTGACGCCTTAGTATAATATCTCGGTCTTCTGACCCTATTTTGCCATCCCCAGCGATAACAGCAGCGACTTCGTTGCAAGACGGGAAGTTGTATCGATTAGGATTGCGACCACCAATCGGCATGGACTTGATTTTGATAGTCCTGACCGGACCCGAGGCTAGCACTTCCTCAGCGGACTTGTATAGCTTGGCAAAGGGATTGTGTCGGTAGAGAAAATCTTGAAAGAGTCGAATGATGTTTGGGTCGAGTCCTCCTCCGGCACGTAAGTTGCGATTCATTGCTTTGTCCTCACCTTGGTCACCGTACATAAAAATTTGAGCAAACTTTCTGGGTATACCTGGCGTAGTCAACAGGGATCCGATTTTGTGCGTAAGACGGCCCACTATCTTGTAAGTCCAAGCGCCCCCTTTTCCAGCCACACTGACATCTTGCTTAGTTCCCGTTGACGCGAAAGACGAAGAGTGGTTATAACAACGGATGTCCTGTCTAAACTCTTTGGATGCTGTAAAGGTCGGTGTTAGAACAGTACGCAGTGTTAGGCAGTGGCGGGCTTACTCCTGTCCTGGTCCGAGAGCAGACACTTGACAAAGTCTGGGGTGAGTGTGTTTTCGTTGCCTGTGCTGGGTAACTTAACGGCACCTTGCTGACAACACGCGGCATAAATAGCGGTCGCTGCTGTTTTCGTGCCTGGCTGACGTTATAGTTTCCAATGGAGTGCTCCACAATATTCACAGGGGTCATCGCAGGCTCCAATATTGAACGGTATTTCAGCGGCGAATCGACGTTTGATAGCCTCTTCGGTATTCTCCACGGCAGTTCTGACAGCAAGACCATGGTTAACCATAAGGGCTCCGGCAGGTGGCGGCTAGGCGAGATATGCTGTAATTGATACGGAAAGAATTAGCTGCGCATGACCAAAGGTTAATTGTGAAGAAAACGATGTGAAGTTCATTCGTACGCTTGATTTCGGACCTTCTGAAGTATGCAAGCTGCAACAACAGCGGAATGAAATTGATGTAGTCCTGGATGGCGAGAGTGGACAGCAAAGAGTGCTATGCTGCAGTAATATAGGTGGATTCAGGATTAAATACGCCGCAGCTTTACCAAGAAATCTTTGAAGAGCCATTGATATTAGAGAAAATGGTTCGCCGGGACAGGTGAAGGACGGGTTTTGAAGAAAGAAAAGTATGAGCTGAAAACAGTAAGCAGTGCGGATGGGGGAGAGGATTGCAGGCGAGTGGACAGAATGACTAAGCTAAGTGTGATGTGAAGCGGAGTATAGGTGAGGGAGGCCGCCATTATATGAGGCTGGTGGTCATGGGCCAGCTGCAAATCTAGCACTGCGAACTGATCTGGACGGCGGGGTGGGCTGAACGAAGTTAGCCAACCGTAGAGCAGAATGGCGCAGCTGGTTATTGGATTGACCGCGGTTTTAGTGGACGACAGGCCGGTCGATTGCAAATCACCTCGTGAACTGGCGGTTCTGCCTAGGCGTAGCGAGGTGAGGGAAAGTCGTTAAACTTAGAAAACTAAGGTGGGCTGAAAATGGGACTGCGTTTGTAAAATGCGCCGGGCAGGACTCCTTGTTGCGTCCCGTGCCGAGAATGGAGAGAAAGGGATAGATCTGCGCTAGTCTGGATCGTAATATCGTTCGCGGGGGTTCTTTTTTGGGCCATTGACTTCGTTGTGATAACATTTCCAGTGTAACAATGAAGTACATTTTATTAACACTATTGACAAAGGGAGACACGTTTTATTCACTATGCACAGTAACAGTATGGACACACGGGAGAAAGGTATATTACAGGTTGGGATTTGTAAACAAATGGACCAAGTTGGTCGAGGTACAGATCACACCACCCTATTCCTCCAAATCCTCCTCGCTGTCCTCTTCGGCTTCAACCTCGTCGTCGTCATGGGTTTCTTCTGCAATTGGGGCCTCTTTGGAGACAGCCTTCGCCTTCTTGGCTTTGCTGACCACCGCTTTCTTTGCTGGGGCCTTCTTGACTACTTTAGTCACTGGCGTAGTAGGCCATTCCGTTTCGGAAAGCAATTCTTCGTCAGGCTCAGCGTCTTGAGGTAGCTCGGCTGGTGCGACGGCCTTGCCTTTCCCTTTGGTCTTGGGAAGGTTGGGTTTGGTGGGCGCGGGCGTAGTAGGTTTTGCTACGTGTCTGAACAACGAAATCAGAACAATCGAGGAGAAATGTAAGAGGAGAAGAACCTACTTGGCTGGCCGAGTCCGTCGTCCAGTGACTGGCGGTGAATGTAACGGTTCTTCTAAGGCAGATGCCTTACGCTTGCTACCGTTGGTTGTGACTGAGGCTGGTGTCGACGAAGGTCCAGCAGCCGCATTGACCGGAGTAGCAGGGCCAGGAACATGTCTAAGTACAGAAAAAATGTCATTATTGCAATGTAAATAGGTGGATGGTAAGGAACGTACTTTGCTGGTCGAACTCTGCCAGCTGGAGTGACGTGTCCAGCTGGATTGGTGGTTTTGCCAGTGCTACCTTCATTACCGGTACACGGGCTAACTGCTGTAACCTGCGAGCGTAGATGATGTGAGCTGAGAAGTGTTCAAACAAAATTGGAAAGGGCAAGGCTAACCTCAACGATCCAGCGATTGTTTTCGCTGTCCCAATCGACGATGTAGCCGGAAATGAGAGTCTCTCGACCAACGTGTACTAAGTTCTGACTTTTTTCCATGTTTCGTGTTGGTCGAATGCGGTACTCAATTTCAAAGTACTGGTTCTTACGGGACTGATTGCATAGTCAGACTCAACAGGGGATCTTGGGAATGAATTGAAGACTTACTTGTGGCTGATAGTCGATATGCTTCATGACAAAGCACAGGGTCGATTTAGTATCGTCTTCGTCTGGCATGGTTCGACGGCTAGAAACAATCCCAAGACCAGAAAGGGTGGTATTGTTGTGAAGAACACCCGTG